CACACTTGTCTCTAGCCCCTTCCCCAGCAGCTCCGTTGCCCTTCCCTGGCCACGAGCAGTCGGGGCTCAGCTCTGACCCCCCTCGTGTTGCTTCTGACACTCCCCCTGGAGCAGCACTGCACAGCCCAGCAGGAAGCACAGGCTGCTTCTGTGGCTTCCCCCCTTGCCCCTCAGACACACGCTGGGCTTTAGCTCATGGTACCTTCTAGAAAACCACAGGCACTGCCAGCACCTCCCGCAGGCTGCTCTCACCTGATCAGATAGAGCTCGTTGTTCCAGGGGTAGACGTTGAGGACTGGCCCCACGCCAATCATGTGGTTGTGGCAGGCTCCCACGTTCTCCACGTACTCGTGCTTGAGGGGGACCTTGCTGAGGAGCTCGAAGTGGTGGGGGGCCTGCCTCAGAACCTGCTCTGCTGCGTAGAACCCGTCCACCAGCAGCGTGCGCCCGCCCGTGCCCTCGTGCCTCAGGCAGTGGAACACCTGGATGCTGCAGGGGGGACAAGCCAAAGCACAGGAGAACACCTTGGCTGCCTGGCCCTGGGGGGAAAAGAAGCCCCCCGGGGACCCCCGAGGGTGTAGATGGATGCACCACCCTCCTCACGGCATCGACATCTGCCAGGGAGTGGAGATGGGTCACCCAGAACTGGCTGGTTCTTGAAGGAGAAGAAGAAGAAAGGGAAACAGCACCCAGCACTGCCTCCCAAATCAAGGGGCAGAGGTTCCAGAGCATAAAACTAACTTCCCTACAACCTCTCACAACAAGAGAGCTGAAGGGATGCTGCTGGTCCTGCCGAGGCCTCCAGGAACCCCCAGGGGAGTGTGGGGTGACCCTGGCTGAAGGGTCCACACGTCCTGGTCCCCCACAGCCAGCCAGAATTCCCTCAAGGCAACACTTTAAAGACCTTTTGGAAAGCCTGGAGCAGGAGTCCCTGATGAGAAGTCTACCTACAGGGACACCCCCTCTTGGGGGAAGCCACCCCACTTGGCTTCTGTCCTTCTGGTGCCTCTCTGAAGCTTCTCAGAAAGAAGGGATCTTCTGGCAGAGATGGGGCTCCAAGAAGCCAGAAATCCACATTCCTCCTGCACAACTGTGGCTCTGCAGAGCTGCAAACACTCCCTGTTAGCCCCAAACACTACTGCAGCCCCTGCAGGTGGGAATACACCTGCCTGGAGAGAGTCCTCCCAAGTGGAAAAGGATAAAAAGAGCTGCTGAGCTCTAGTCTGGCCCCGAGCAGTTTAATCAAAGCTCTTCTCTAGGCTCAAGTCCTGATTGCTAAAGTAGGGGAAGATTTTGGGGAAGATCTGTGAGCTCCTAAAACAAGTCAGCCCAGCAGGTAACACAGGACCTCTGCTTCACGTGGAGGGTTCTGGCTGCCCAGAGCAACCCCAAAAATCCACTGCCCCCACTCCTGGCACCAGCCAGCCTCCTGCTGGAGCTGGGGGTGCCCCTGGGCCACTCCTTGGCCTGCTCTCCCAGCTCTGCCCTCTGCTTTCACAGCTCTGGACCACGTGAAGGTGTCCAGGAAGGTGACAGGCTCCCCTGGGGAGAGCTCATCCTGCCCTGGGGCAGGAGGAGGGGACTGGGGGACTTCTTGGAGCCCTAGTTCCATCCCAGATCACAGCCTTCCCCCCATTCCCCCCCAGCCCATCTCCCCCTGATTCCCCTCTAGACTGAGATGAGAGCAAACCAAAAAAAGGCATGAAGGCAGAAATTAAGCCTCAGTCTCCTGCACTTCACTGGGCTGCTGCTCTTCCTTCTCCAGCTACGTGCAAAACTCACAACCCAGAGGCTGCACCAGTTTGGAATCGAGCGTCTGGGAGATGATTCCACAGCTCCAAGCTGATGTTTAAAACCAGAAGGAGGTGGGAACTTGGAAGGGCTGGGGGAGCCTGGCTCCTGAGCTCCCCCAGGGCTGCACCCCTGCCAGAACACACCCCCAAAAGTGCCTGGGCTGAAGCAGAGGGACTGCACAGCGTGTCCGTGAGCACAGCACGGAGCTGCTGCTCAGGGCTTGGCAAGGCAGACAGGCTCTGCCCAGCCCAGATGTTCTCCCCTCCTCCCCCAGATGTTCCCCCCTCCTCTCCCAGAGGCTCTCAGAGCTCAGCCAGCAAAGCAGACCGTGCTGGTGTGGCTGAGGAGGGTCTGCCCCAGGTCATACAAAACTTCTGCAGCAGTTTTTTTGAGGACTGCTGGTACCCAGAAGGCCCAGATCAAATCCACTGCTCCCTTCTGAGGGGGGAAGTGCTGAGTGTCACCTCAGAGACTGACCTCAGGAGAGACTGAGAAGCTTCAGGGGAGCACAGGCACTACCACAGCACTGAGTCTTCTTTCATAGAATTGTAGAATGCATCAGGTGGGAAGGGACCTTTTTAAAGCCCATCTAGTCCCACCCCCTGCAGGGACAGGGACATCTGCAGCTAGAGCAGGGTGCTCAGAGCTCCATCCAACCTCCCCTGGGATGGTGCCAGGGATGGGGCAGCGACCACCTCTCTGGGCAGCCTGGGCCAGGGGCTCAGCACCATCATCAACAAAACCTCCTTCCTTCTCTCTAGTCTAAATCTCCCTCTTTTAGTTTCAAACCACCCTCCCTTGTCCTGTCCCAACAGGCCCTGCCTGAAACTCTGTCCCCAGCTTTCCTTTGAGCACTGGAAGGCCTCGAGAAGCTCTCCCCAAACCCTTCTTTTCTCCAGGATGAGCCACCCCAGCTCTCTCAGCAGAAGGCTTCTTTGTGGCTGCAAAGACTCCTCAGTCTACACGATCCCCAGCAGCAGCCAGACACCTGACACCTGAATCCTTCCTCACCTGCATGCTGCAAGACCTAGAAGCACCAAGCATAGGAAGAAGTGATCCACCCGACCCCCCCAGGGCCCAGTGAGGCCCCAGAGCTGCCTCGTGGCCCAGGGCAGGTGCCAGCAGTGATGCCCCTGGCAGCAGGAGCAGCCCAGGCCCAGCTCTTACCCACAGGGCTCCTGGAAGTAGGTGGTGTCCGTGTGGCGGTCCAGGGCCAGCTTGGTGTAGGCTGTGTCTCCCCGGGAGAAGTCAGAGGTGAAGTACCACATCCTGCCATAAATGGTCTCCCTGCAGGGCACAGGGCAGTCACCACCTTGGGGGTCACCCCCCCTACAGCCTTGGCACAGACCCTGCCCAGGCAGAGCAGCTCCTCCACACTGCTGCCAAGAGAGGCTGCTTCTGACACCACCTCCTGTGCTCAAATCCCCCCTTTCCTCCTCAAAAAGACTCATAGCAGTGAGTCCTGCTTCCCCCCACACCTTTCCACACCAGCCATTAGCCCAAATCAAACTGAGGAAGCCACAGAGTGACAGGAGGAGTGGCCAGAGGGCTTGTGCCCACCACAGGGTTGCCCAATAATCCCACGGTCTTGTCCTCAGGATGCTGCATTTTCACCCACCTCTCTGCTACAACAGAGAGGAGAGAAGGACAAACAGTCCCTGGGGGCTGCAGGGTGAGGGGACTGGAGAAGAAAAAGCTGGCTGGGTGTTCCTTGGAGCCCCTCGTTTCTGTTTGGAGGGACTGATTAAAAGAAACCCTTGGCCCAAGGCAAGGGAGGCTGTTTCTGCAGCCTGGATAAAAGCTGGAGCTCCAAGCCCCTGCCTGGCCATGCCACTGGTGTGTTTTCCACACAGAGGAAACATTTCTCAGTGTTTTTCTTTACTGAGAGCTACAAACAGTTCTGGATGTCCCTGCTGGCTCCCAGGGCCAGGCTGCCCTCCTAACCTCCCAAGTCATAACAGGAAATGTCTCTGCTCACACAGCTCCAGCCTTCCCAGACAGAGCTCCTCCAGCCCCTCCTCTGCACAGAAGTGACCCCCTGACTCCAGCTCCCCCCCAACCCACGTCAGACCCACAGCACAAGGCTCCATCCCAGCTCAAGAGGAGTGTCCACTGCCCCTTCTCCTGTCCCTGGGCACCACTGGCAGGAGTCTGGCCCCAGCCTCTTGCCCCCAGGGACCAGATCCCCTCTGAGGCTTCTATCTCCAGCCCACCAGCCCCAGGGCTCTCAGCTTGTCCTGGCACAGAGCTGCTCCAGCCCCTCAGCAGCTCCAGAGCCTCTGCTGGACTCTCTCTGGAACTGGGGAGCCCAGAACTGGACACATATCCCCAGAGGTGCCTCACTAGGGCAGAGCAGAGGGGGAGGAGAACCTCCCTCGACCTGCTGGCCACACTCTGAAGATGTGCACCCCAGGGGAGCATTGGCCTTGGCCACAGGGGCACGCTGCTGGCTCGTGGCTGCCCACCAGGACCCCCAGCTCCTGCTCTGTGGGGCTGCTTCCCTGCAGGTCACCCCACACCTCAACTGGGGCAAGCAAGGAGTTATCCCTGCCCAGGGACAGGACCCTGCACGTGCCCTTGTTGAACCCCACGAGGCTCCTCTCTGCCCAAGCCTCACTGACTGGCAGAGCAGCCTCTGGTGTGCCAGCCACTCTTCCACCACACAGAGGAGAAGGCAGCAGCACCTTTCCAAGGAAGACAATCACCACCTACCCCCGGGGGCTCCTCCAGAAGCCAGCTGTGCCCTCCCAGGGCAGCCCCCATACCTGATCAGGCTGATCCTCTCTGCCAGGATCTCTGTGTCCTCCTTGGTGGGGGCGACGTTCTCCACGAAGGCGATGCCGTAGAGCAGGAAGTTCTGCAGGAACTCCTTCAGCCCCTCGTCGGTCTCCAGGAAGCTCCTGCAGTCCACGGAGGGGACGTGGGCCTGGTGGTAGATCTCAGCGTTCCAGAGGATGCGTGGGTGCATCACCTGCTGCTTCTGCCCCTCGTAGCTGTTCTTCACCAGCCACTCCAGCCCGTAGCGCGTCACGTGCCCGTCGGGCCCTGCCAGGGGGCAAGAGTCACACAACCAGAGTCCTCCTGGCTGGGACAGACCTTCCAGCTCATGGAATCCAGCCCTGCCAGGTCCCCACTGCCCCGTGTCCCCTCAGCACCACGTCTCCACAGCTTGGAAACCCCTCCAGGGGTGGGGACTCCACCCCTGCCCTGGGTAACCCTTCCAAGTGACACCAAACAGCCCCAGAGTGGTCAGTGCAACCATCAGTGCAGGACAGCTCTCGCCCTTTTCATTCTGTGGTGACACTCTCTGCACCCTGAGACCACCTAAAATATCATCTGGTTAAGGCCACAAGTCCTAAAGCACCGTCATGAACTCCAAGTTCAGAGCTCAGTGTCTCAGCTTCAGGGGTTTTGATTTCTAGTGACAGGGCTCTAAGGAGTGAAGCACGGAAGAGAAGCCCAGAAATAGAGGCAAGTGACAACAAAAGGAAGGACAGGAAGCTGAGGAGAAAGGCCAGAAAATGTGAATCCTGACCAGGGAAACTGCCTCGAGGGGAAATGAACCATTTCTGGACCAGTCTCTGCACCGCTGCTGCGCTCAAACAAACCGACCAAACCCCCAGAGACAAACATCCCCACCCAAAAAGAGCAGAGAGGGAGGGAAAACAGCCCCAGATTTGAAACAGGGCTGCTGAGGAACACGGGGCCTGCAGCTGAACCCCTCCCCACCCCAGCCAGAGGACAGGGAGGGGCTGCAACCCCTGCTGGGAG